TTTGTGTTTTTAAATGACTTTAAATGTAACACCTCAGCGATTACAGCAGCTACATATTATAAAATGTTAATGTCGGATTGAAAGAAAATCGACACTCACAGCTACATGTGGCAGAAAACTCATGTTTGTGATGCTGGGACAAAGATAACATGACATGTTACAGTGTACAACAGGTGGAAAAGTTTGAAATTAGCACTTTGTCGGACGAAGCTGAAGTCCTTGAACAAAATGTAATGTAAATAATTATAAAAAAGTAAAATTATAAAAAGTAGGACCAACATGCATCTGGAAGAATCTATAATCTTTTTCCAGAGCAAAAGAGGCAGCAGGAGCTATGAGTTCTTTCCACTAAATAACCCTCATTGTTTGCACAATGATGAATCAGTTGCCTTTTGATTTCAAGTTTGTTTCAAGTTTGATTTTAATTATGAACAAATGGTCCCTACAGAGGGTGAACTGTTAGGGTTTAAAAGAAAACAACCGATCTTATCTTTATTTGCATTTAGCCTGAAGGGCATTAGCTGTAGTTTTACTGTATAAATATTAGATAGTAGAAATGCCTCTAAACTCCGTCCCTCTGGATGAGGCTCTGCTGATCTGTGAGGCCTCGGTGTGTGAGAATTAGATGTAAGTATGAAGCATCCTCTGCTGGAGAGATGGTGGAAGGCAGATCGTCTCTGTGTCCCATCCTGAGAGAATACAGAGTCCTCCTGGAAGTCAGGAAATCTACACCCCTGAAGACTGAAGTCTCTGTGGAAGATAATCTCAGCTCTCTGCCCTCCACCTTGTTCAGCAGAGAGATGATGTAAAGGTTTTCTTCATCATCATCATCATCAATGATCAGGGGAGGATGATAAAGGACCATCCCGTTTGTTGTCCTGCAGCCCAAGCATTACACAGGACAAGACATCTGCCCACAGGAGATTCAGCTGCTTCCCCTCACATCCTGTTGGGAGCAGCGGTAACATCTGTCTTCAGTTTCTCTGCTTGCATGTGCTGCAGACAGCCGACCCACTGATTGTTTGTCTTCTTGCAGGTCTTAATGTGCGCCCGGCTGACGATGTCTCGTTCTGCTGACTGTGCGTTTGGTTCCACCTCGGTCCGTGCGATCAGTCCGGTCCGTCTGATCAGTGAATTTGACGTGTCGCTGGCGTTCAGAGACCGGTGGGTGCGGTTGTATGATGAGAGCTGTGGATAGAAGTGTGGAGTGGAGGTGTGTGCTGGAGCGTTACATGTCTGTTTACCTTTATTACTGCTGTCAGTGGGGGGTTTGTAGAGTGGGCTGTAGCAGCTCACTGTTGGGCCGAGGTGATAACTCTGACACATCTCGTGATCAAGTGAGTCAGTATCTGACGTCCTAAACTGAATACTATCATTAAACACTGGATGTGCTATTTCCTGTATGTAATAGTTTTTATTTTTATGATATAACAGAAGTGGTCTATGATTGATAATGTGGTCCACCTCCTCCATAACACACTGGGAAACCCTGCAGCTCTTGAATGTCCACCAAGTGGCTCCCACTTTTACTAGGACACTAACTACAAATAATTTAAATTTACTCTAAATTTTGAGTTTATTTCTTCTAACTCACTAAATGTCAGTTTCTACCAGTATAGAAATGTAGTTGTAGTATTCCTGTAATAATGCTGTGTATAGTAATCATTAAGTAACTACTGTGACCAGTGCTCACACTTTGATGGCGCTGTTTAAAGCAGAGCAGCGTTACACCCAGGTCAGTAACAGAAGCCATTTTGGATGAAATGCAATGATGCATTCGGTGAGACAGGAAACACAGACTGAATCCACTGATGTTACAGCAGCAGTCTGAGAGTCTGACCTGGTCCTTCACTTCCTCTCTCTGTGCATCTCTCTAACAGGCTGCTGAGAGCAGGAAGAGGAAGAGAAAGCAGGAGAGCAGCTCCGGAGCCCTCCAGGATCCTGCAGAGAGAAGACTCCGTCAGACTGCTGCTGCCCTGTCGGACCGGAGCCTCAGCCCCACAGGCCAGACTGGAAGATGTCCAGCTGGAGGTGAGTACTCCACATGTATACACAAGTGTTAGTTTTCACCTGTTTCACCTCTATTGGTCAGAGCCATTCTATCTGAGCTCGATGGTCACCACACACATTTCTCCCACTCTGCTGGGTCAGTCTAAAGGGTGTAGCTGAACCAGTCTGACCTTCCTTCTCCCCTACTCTCTCTGAAATGTTCAGGAAAGAGCAGCAGGAGAAGGGGAGCAGGAGAGCAGCTCCAGAGCCCTCCAGGAGCCTGTGGATGACATTGAATATGATGACGTTGTAGGAAAATTATAAGGCCCAAAGATGTATGACTTGATATCACTTGGTTGGACGCCAACAGGAGTAAGAGAGCCAGTGTAGGAGAATAACAAACATAACAATTACAAAAGATATGGTTTGGCGGCCAACAGAGTGGGCCAAGACACTTTAAATGTTTGGGGAAACATCTGGAAATTAGGAGATTGGAAAACTAGGAATAAACATAAGGTCAAGGCGCAATGTCAGTGAAGAGCACAGTGACCTGGTTGTGCGCCAGGAAATAAGTTAGGCAAGAGTAGTATAACGAAGCCAAAATGATTGGAAAACAGGATGCACATACAGACACATAGCCATTTGAGATATAAACGGACATGTCACGTTCTGTGTTTGGTTTTTGTTGTCTCGGTCTATGACTGCGAGTAGGCCGTTGTGAATAAAGAGACTCCCTGCTTTGACACCTGTGTCTCGACTGTCTGATTCCTTTTTGATCCACCACTTCTCGCCACAACAACGTCATGTCCTTGCCCCTCTGGCCCAGCCCCTACGGAGCCCAGCGTGGTGGTCCGGAGGTCACTGCTACCATGATGGAGATTTTGAAGGCCTTGATACATGACTCCCCGTACAGCCCGGAGATGTGACCAGTGAGGTGCAGAGCTCCATGGCTGGACCAGCCAGTAGTTAAAACAGTAACACGCACGCACGCACGCACGCACGCACACACACACACACACACACACACACACACATTCTGTATATATATAAGTATATAACTCTTTTTTTAGCTTATAGATAGGTTTCCTTCCTCAAATTCTACTCTTTCATTAACTCTAAGTTTGTACATAAGTTTGAACTTTTTACTTTCTTATTAGTTGGTTAAGTTTCCTTCAAGAACAAGAAAAAAAAATTTTAGTTGATAAGTCTTTCATTTCATCTTAGTAGATAAGAACTTAGTATATAAGTTTTCACTTCTTCATTTCTTATTAGCTGGTTAAGTTTCCTTCTTCAAGAAAAAAAATTAAATAAGATAAGATTAGATAGATAGATAGATACATACATACTTTCTTTGGGTTTTGTTGTCCCATACTAATCTGTCTCTGTCCGTCAGGTCGCTGATTGGTGGACCTGGAACACCTGTGGCATCCAGTTTGTTTCAGGCAACAGAAATCCAGGCTGCAAACTAACCTCTCTCTCTTTCTGCTCCTCTCCACAGGCACACCACATTTTGAGTTTGGTTATGGTGTCTTAGTTAAATCTTTGTTTAGTTCTGCACGTTACAACACCCACACTCACATTCCTCACTCATGCACACCACACACTTCTGACTTCACTGATTTCCACACCCGATGCTGTCTAAAAATCTAATTTGGCACCTTAATTTGGTTTAATAAAAATTTCTTTATTAACTTTTAACCATGGTGTGTCTGACTTTTCTTGTGGCCACTTGTGCCGGATTGTAACAGTTGATAAGTTTTCTTCTTTTTTAAAAAAATATATTTTATTTGGCTATATTTTTTAACTACTTTATTCCCTCTCGGTTTGTGGACATGAAAGCAAGTCTTTCAGGTTTTTAACATTGTCTACTCATTCTTTTAATATTTTACTTAAAAAAATTCTCTCAAAACTGACATCAAGTTAACCTCAATATGTAGATGGTGGTTGCCTACATACTTAGACAGAACAATATCCTTTTTCAATATATCTAAAAAAATATACTTAAAAAGAAAGTAATGGTGAGTCTCTGATCTTTAATTTTATTCAAATCTTTCAATGAAAACAAGCAGAAAAATGAAATGTAAAATAATTTTCTTTCACCAATGTGAATGATAAATTTAGATTAATCTAGAACATACAATTGTATGTAGCAAAGTATGTGGCAAAATAAGTAATTAAACTATTTAAAACATTTCTATTTTTAATACCTATCTGTTGAGACAAAGCTGTCATAACTTCATGAGAGAGGTAAAGGGCTTTAGGAGAGTCTACTGACAATGATCCATCCAACAGGTGTTTCCTACAGTTCATATGTTGGTATAGTGACAGACTACTTTGGTAGATTTCCTATTTTGCACCAAATGGATTTTTTAAATCAATGATGTCAATATTTTAACCTCCGGGTAAGTTAAACCATTTATTAGGTTTAAAGTGAATGCATGTTACATTGACTCCAGCCATTAGAGGTCAGAAGTGCACGGCTTTAAAGTCCTCTGATGATAGTTTACTGTATAAATTTCACAACCTGCACTTACTGGAGCAACGTGAACTTCTTACAACACAACGCAAAAAGTGTAGATGAAACACTTATGAGTAGCAGTGTAGTAGTCTTATTGGTAGCAGCTTCAATAGTAGTGTGGTAGTTTCATAAGAAACAGCAGTAGGTAAGAAACAATAACAACAAAGACAATCTACAAAACATATGAATAATCCTAATAACTAATTTCATAAAAATCTTAAAAAGCTCTGCAACAGACATATAGGCTAGATGACTGACTTTTAACAGTAGCACTATGTTTGAGGGAATTCCGTCCAACTGAACCTCTTTGAATTATAATTGAATATCCCTAATTTACGCCAAAACTGCTTCAATCCAGCCATGTGTGTTTTTTCTTTTTTTTTTTTGGTCAATCTTTATTGAAAACATTTGGATATACAAGTGTGTGTGGCCCTTTAAGGCTCGTACAACGTGTGGCTGCTGTCGTCGCTCACGTTAAACGTCACATGCGGAAGTATCAACATGGACGACGGGAGAGAAGCTTCCACGAATTCACTTTTGAAAGATGGTAAAACAGCCTTATGAACTGCGGCGACGCTCTCTGCCGCATTTCACGGCAGTTATAAAACATATTATCAACAGCGTTGTCAAGTTTCCATCTTCGTCCCGCAGCTAGCTACTGCAAATGCACTTCCCTAGCTAGCTAACAAGCTACGTTAATCATATTTCATAGTTTTTCTAGGACTGCCATTTAATTGACATTCACTGAAAACTATTTTTTCAGGCACGGATAATACATTTTTGTACTATTGTTGATATCATTGCTATAACATGTAAACTACACTCGTGACTGAAACTAAGAAAGTGGAGCTAAGTAAGGAGGATGCACAGAGAGACAGTGTGCAGGTCTTAGCTGCTCTGGTCCAGTCTGTTGACAGAGGTCTGGCTCAGTCACTGACATGACTAAAGAGAAAGAGTAGCAGGCTGAAAGCTTCACTGGTGCTGTTTGGGTTGCAATGCACCAGAGGCCTTATGTTTAGGAATGACATGATCTGTTATGAGAATAAATGTGCAGAATGAGTCTGAGGACATGCTGCTGTTTTTGCAGAGTGTTACACTGATTTCCTGGCAGGGGACTTTGACGTGAAGACGTACACTGCTCAGGCCATACACCATGCTGTTATCGCTGAGCAGCTTGCCAAGCTGGCACAGGGCATCAGTCAGCTGGACAAGGAGCTGCACAGCCAGGTACCAACCCAGCACATCACAACACAGCCATGTGAACTCACTGCAGGGTGTGAGGGAACACATTTTGTAGAGATCGCAACTTAAGGTTCATCAATGAAAGCTTTATATGAAACCATGCCCAATCATATTGCCATCTACTGATAAATCAATGTGCTGCAAATAACCTGAATTTTCCATTAAACACCAAGCCAGACTTGGTATAGAATCGTAGAAATAGCTGACTGTTGAAAGCTGAAATGACTTGTCAATCATTTGATTAATCAACAGAAAATGAATCAGCAAAAATCATAATACTTGATCACTGAATATTATATAACTTGAATACTTTTGGGTTTTTGTCAGACATCACAAGACATTTGAAGATTTCACCATGAGCTTTTGGGAAATAGGCATTTTCACAATTTTCTGACATTTTATAGAACAAACAGTTGACAAAACAACAAACAACAGAGAAATTAATTGACAGCTTAATCAATAATGAAAATAATTGTTAGTTGCAGCCCTAGTAGGAATATAAACTAAAGCTTATAGTTGAGGATGAGACATTCAAAACATTTGCACTGAGGAAAAACAGCCAGGCCTTGTCTTCACATTTTGTATAATTTTCCTGTTGCTAATTTAGTCCTAGGCAGTGATCTGTATCTGTCTCTGTAAAATTGCTAATGACCATTAGTGATTCAGCGCCACCACTATTAACACCTAATAACTGCAAATCATTCAGTTACCGCGGGCTGTTTTCTAAACCATGACATATTGTTTTTCCATGGTTTTCTTTCCTCCAGACATACACTTGTTTCAGTTTATTCCATTTCACAGAGGAAATAAAGCGGAAAGTTGAAACTGGCTTAAAACAGTGTCCCATGGGGGAACACAGTGGCAACCATAACAGTAGTCCCATCCGTTGATTTGTACTGCAACTTTCTTCCAGGTTGTGGCGAGACATGAAGACTTACTGTCGCAGGCGACTGGGATAGAGTCTCTTGAAGGTAAAGATACACTTTTCCATATTGTAACTTTAAGAACAAAATTTGTAGGAACAGCTACAAATAGACATGCACCATGGGCTTAGAATGATTAGTCATGATTATTTCTTCCAGGCAGCCATTGATTTCAGTTCATAAGTAATTCATTATAGTTTACTTTGTTCACTTTTATTCAAGTTATATTATTGTAGGACTATTCAAAGATGCAGTAAAATCCAAATGTGATTTCTGGCTGTTGAAAACCAGTGCATCATTGTTCTATGCTGCTATTTCACTAGCCAGTGGTTTCAGTTCATGTTAGTGAACAATGAAAATAAACCAGTAGCCAACATTGCACCGACTGTTATGAAGATGGTCCATTTGTTGAAAATCACTGTATTAGACAGTTAATGGCATGTTTTGGTCAAAGTTATATTATTGTCTTTGAGGTTTGATTTAATGACCTCATTCATGTCATCAATGTAATAAAGTTAAAGACCCAACTCTCAGTAATTGTACCAGCATATGAATTCACACAAGCCTTTTGAAAGCAGCCCGATCTGTCAACAGTTTTACCTGCAAATGATGACTGGATGAATGTTTTCAGAATAATCTGCAGGAGCAGTGACTTGGTTTTTAACCCTGCAATTATTGTAGTTCTTGGGTTTTGCCACAAGAGAGAGCCAGTAATCCTCAGATGAAGTCTGCGAAGAAAGATGCTCTTCAAAATCAGTGTCAAAGTGTACCCAAAGGAAAAAGATTTTGTTGTTGTTGTTTTCAGGGGTCCTTCAGATGATGCAGACAAGGATCAGTGCTCTGCAGGCAGCTGTTGACAGGTATATATATTTCCTATGGCTTTAACCAGATTAGAATTTTTCTTTTTTTTATTGATTTTTGATGATATTTGGCATTTTCAACCAGCATATAGTTGGTTTCAAATTGTCATTTTCGTCTTATTTTCTTAACCAAGCAGAAAACTAAGAGACACAAACAAACAAACAAACAAACCCTCACAAAACCAGACTCTACAACATCAGTCATGTGTTTGAAAATGACGAAACCCAAATTCACAATGACAGTGATTCATACAAGTACAAAGTAGCTCCCTGAATGGGAGAGACAAAAAAAACAACAAACAAACAAGACTAAAACAAAAACTACAGAAAATAAAATGGCAACCGAAAAGAAAATGGCCATGAACAGCCAGTATTACAATCAGAAGGCCCTACACATACTGACCAGCTGTGTAGCCCACACTGTTCAATGAGTTGTTTATATTGTGCACCTGGCAGGATACAGAGATCAATCCTTCCAGATTATCAGTTTAGTCCTTATGGATATTGTGTTCTTCCCAGGATAAGGACGAAGATCGTTGACCCATACAACAAGATTGTGGCCAGGATTACTCAGCTTGCCAGACTGCAGGTAAGTCTCCACCACACGCTTGTTGATGAGTGCATTATATTAACTTTTCTGTTCCAGTGTGTGAATTAGTCACTTTCTCATTTGAAAAGGCGAAAGAGAAAGAGATAGAAGAAAGAGACTGGCTGTTCTTCGATGGCAGTTTTACTAAAGAACATTATTTTACACCAAACCCACAGAGAAACACTGTGTAGGAGAGAGGTTCAGCATTTTTTTGTCTATATGTAGGCAAGACATTTGTTGTGTGCTGAACTGCTGTGCGTGGATGACCAAACAAGCAAGCACATGTTCTCAGTGAGGGCTGCAGTTCTCCTGTTTGTGTAGCTGGGGGAAATCATGATTAAATATTGATGAAACAGCGGCTGTAAAAAGGTCAGTGTGATTCTGAGGTCTCTCTCCTGGACTAATGGATCTGTGTCAGTCTGATTTTTGTGTGTGTGTCTTCGTGATCTCAGTCTCTCGAACTAAGCCTTCAGTATAAGCAGGATGCGACTCAAGCAGCAGTCGATCAGTCACTGGAGAATCTGTCATGTTCTCCCTTGTCAACAGCACAATATCTTCCTCTGTCTGCCTGAGATAATAAAGATGCACCTACACATTCTGGAGATGTCTGCACATCAGGACTCTCCTTAAAAAAAATCCAATTCAAATGAATAAGAATAAACATGTATTTTCTTAGGATTAATTTAAATACAGCCCACGAAACCTAATTGTAAACTTAATTGTTTTTGGTTTTAGAGCTCTGAATCACCACGCACATCCCTGATTAGTTTATTGATTTACAATGAAACAAAATGGCAATTCAGTCTGATTACCAGGCTGCTAACATTTTTTGCTGTGGTAATTTTATTGTAGTGGGGGTGGTATTTGACAAAGTCATCAAACAGCCTTTTCCCACTATGGTGTTGAATCCTTAATGCTGCCACAAATGATTTGGTGTCATAATTATCCGTTCAGCTGGGCTTATAGTTTTTTTTCCCAACACTTTGCATGGCTTGCTAGTGTTAAATGAGTGGTAACAAAAAGAACAACAGTACCCTGATTTGCTGAGGGCAACTATTACAATAGATCGGTGATTATTACAAATCAAATATTTATTATATTATATTTGTTAAAGAGAGCCACCAAGAGCTCAAGGCATATAATTATCTAATTCTCTCCATTGCATTGTAATTCTTCTTACCCTAACCTGAACCCAATATTCCACCTTACCTCAAGCAGTTGTTTCCTGTAATTTTTAGTCTTAAACCCACCCTTAGCCCAACATCACTCCTCTCTGCGATACCTGAATGTAACCTAATCGAAAACCTCACCAGCGCTACAGGAAACACACGGGGGAAACGCGATGGGACTGGGAAAACCCGACTTTCACGAAACACCAGGGAGAACGTGTGTCCAGCCACATGCTTACATTATTTGCAGACACCAGTGTTGGTTGGCCCGCCATTCCATTCTAGACATGGCAACTATTTGATGGATGGCTGTGAAATTTTGTATACGCATTCATATCCCCCTCAAGATGAGCCGTAACAAGTGAAGTGATTCCCAGAGTTTTCATCTAGCGCTAACATCAGGTCAACATTTCATTTCTTCCTTTGGTTTATGAAGCTAGGAAACTGAAGACTGTCAGATTAGCATCAGCTGTACATTGTCATAGTGATTAGTAAATGTTATCATGCTAACATGCTAAACTAAGATGGTGAACGTGGTAAACATCAGCATGTTAGAGTTGTCATTGTCAGCATTTTAACATTTAGTTCAAATTAGCAGTGCAACATCACAGAGCTGCTGTAGACTGTTAGTCTTATGTTTTTACACAGACAGATACACACTATCAGATGCAGATGGCAGCCCGTCAGTCCTCAGCTACACCTCTGTTCCCCCACCTCCTCCACCTCCTCCTCCTCCTCCTCTAAGCTCCTAACACTATACTGAACATCTTCTTCCTCTTAGGCATTTAAACAGTACTGTGCTGTCATTCTCTATCAGTGTGAATTTTACATCAACCTCCTTTTGTCTTTTTTTGTCTGCGTTACACTGTTCCTTCTCAGTTTACTTTGTTGTTATCCATCTTCTTTAAATAACTCTTTCCTAGCTGTTAATGATTTCATGTACAAGCTGCTTCCTTAGAGAAATAATATTGTGATTATGGCTTCAAGTATCGCATCAGAGTAAACAATGCCCTCAAGACCGTTGTCTTTCTCTCCTTTTTTGTGGAAATGTTTTACTCCCAGCACATACTTGCACATAGTGAAGAAGCAGCAGTAGCTCCATGGTTACCATAAGAGTTGGCATAGTAACCATAAAGCATAATGTTTTTTTCTCACGTGGCTTGGAAAGCAGAGTTGCATCCATTACAGATTGTTTGTCTGAGAGTACCACATCTGTAATAATACTATGAGTACCATGTGTGTCGTTTTACAGAAGGCTATGACATTAACTTCTGAAGGCTTTTGTCTTCTACTTTTATCAGTAAGCAGTTATGACACCATTTTGACTTTATTTTATTTTAAGATGTACTGTAAGTCTTTAAAAAAAAAAAAAAAAACGTGTTCTGTAGGACCAAGTCTTTTTACTAGATGAGGAAAAGAGTTCTGCAGGTCAGACTCTGCTGATGACATTTGGGAAGATGAAGTTCGAACTGTCTGGTTGAGAAAAAGTGAATCTTTGAATTAGTTGAGGTGAACCAAACGCAGCGTTAGTGGCAGCTTGAACCTGGATGCTTTGGTATACTTAGCACACCACCTGACATCCTCTCTCTCTTGCTCCTCCAGGTGGCCTGTGACCTGCTACGGAGGATCATTCGTATCTTGTACCTGAGCAAGAGGCTCCAGGGTCAGCTCCAGGGGGGCAGCAGAGAGATCACCAAGGCTGCTCAGAGCCTCAATGAACTAGGTAAGGACATCCATGTTTACTAATGTCTAATCCACAGTCCACATCTGTTTCTACAAAAACGACAACTTCTGCTTTAGTGCACTTTTCACACCAGTGCACATCCTCCCAGAACACCTTCGACACGGTGTTTTAAATTACTTGCATTAGGTTACTAATATTGCATTATTATCTAACACAGAAATACACATTTTACTGTTACGTTTTAGCAAAATAAATTCAAAACAGATTAAATAAACATACTAAGCCAAATTTACTGGGTTAGGGTTAGGGTTTGTTCTCTTGCATTATATATCTCCCTGTCACAGTTTGGGGCTGTATAAGGTGTCATCTTCTTTGGAGCTGACATAGGAAATAACTAAGGTCTTGTCACTGTTCTTTTGTGAAGAGATGATTTGTTCTGTGTGGACACAAGGCAAGACATTTGGCAGCAGTAAATTTATCTGGAGCAGTGGTAGGCTTCACTAAAGTCAACAGTGCGGATGTGTTTTGGTGTATATGATCCCAGGAGGGTCAGAGGAGATCATAGAGTAGCTTCAGTGACGACAGGGCTGTTGACCTCTAAACCAGAGCATGGCGCCTGCTGTGTCAGCTGTAGGGGTGCGAGGCATGATGCTCTGGAATGGCTACGCAGATTAAAACACTATCCAGAACTTCAACAACATTCAAGCATAAACATACACAAAGACCGGGAGAATCACACTTTTCTATACTGACACTACATGCACATACATGCTTTTATATTCATTCACCTCCATCATGTCATGTTTGTTTGCCTCTACAACAGTTGGCCTGAATTTTACCATGAAAGCCTACAAAGCTCTTCTGCAGCCAGACAGGGTTCTTTGTATCTATTACCTGTTAGGTACACAAATATTTTAAATATGTGTATATCTACATAAATACTACACACAATATCATGTGCATAGGCATTGCTTGTTTGTGTTTCTATCACCTTAAATCTGATTTTATTAGAATGTCTTCCTAATGACTGTTGGCAGCCGGTCTTTAACACACTGTCATGTTAGCAATGGGCTTTGTTGCTATTTTATCATTTCAATTGATTTATTTATTCATTTACTCTTATTTTTCTCTCTGTCTGGTTTAATTCACTGTGTTAAAAATATTTGCATATGATTCTTAACAGGGTAAAAAATCCTGTTATTTTTATGGCCTATCTGTTGTTGTCTTTCCCCTGGAAAGCACTTTGACAACTGAAATTCTGCACAGACACATTGCAATTTGATGACTATTCTTTATTTTGGCTGTCAGTGTTGTATTTTAGATCATTTACAATCCCTCCTGTGAAACTCATCGCCTGTTAGAACTAATAAAATCTAAATTTGATCTTGGAAAAATCGTACTTAATCCTAATTGCCCACAAAGCACCTTGAGAATCTTAGAATAGTACAAAGTGAAGATGGGTAGTTGCTTACTGCTTTACCAGCTTGCCATCATTTAAGTTTCATCATGCGCACCATTGCACACTAAATGCTCGGAACTAAGTGGAGAGAGGCACAGGAGCACGCAATGTGCAGACCCATGTGTTAACATTTCACTGCACGGTCAGCGCGCTACAGCTCATAAGTGCACTTTAACTAATAAAAGAAGCAGAGTAATTTATTTAAGCTCACACATGTACACTGAATAAAGAACAGTTCACCTCAGAATGGAAGTGCAGGTAGTCACACATATGAATCAAAGCTGTTAGAAGTCTGAAGGACAACTAAACACACACTGGGGTTGCCTATATGTTTCCAAACTCATAGTGCTGAATCTTAATAGATCTAATGGTTCACAATTTCCTGGCATTACATCATGGCCTGCAGTCACAGCGCAACATGATCAAAACTAGTGTTTTAGCTCTGGTTTGTTTCTTCACTTCCTGAGTAACATATCTAGAGTAGGTTTCTTTGCCTCTTCACGGTTTCTATCGGCTGACAGTGCGCCAGGAATGAAACACCTTGTGTGAGCTTGTGAGCTGGGTGCTGCAGTCCACTCACTGTCTAATGTTCCACCCCAGCATGGAAATACATCACATCAAGAAAGTAATGACATCATTTCACGGGACCTTAAAGGCTGAAATCATACCTGTATAATGAGGCACAACAGCGTCGCCCAGTTTGACCCCATTAATTTTCTCCTAGCTGTCCATCATAAACTTGGTTTCATAGTTAGAATTGTGTGTCTAACAGTGGTTGGATAGGTTCAGAGAACCGTGTGACCTTCTGGTGTCAGCAGAGGAAAAGTGATATTGATGCATCACATGTCTCCGCAACCAGTTATCCATGTGCCATACCCTTGCACCCTTAGTTATCACAAGGCATTAAGCGTGACAGAGGGGGTTCACAAGGACAAGTGTTTTCAGCAGCCTGTGACCACTTCTCATACCTCACGCACAGACACACACACAAACCCCATTGGTTGCAAAGAGCTTTTATATGGGGTCGGTGTCCTTGGTGCTCTCCAGCACAGCAACAAACGCTTGACGGTGATACAGTGTCGGCTCCTGCTAGCTGCCGTGCCAGTCGGTTGTTGCCCAACGATTCCAACAATTTCTCAAGTGGGTTCTGCTGCTTTGTGTTTTGTTATCGCTCATACTGTGGAGTCCTGGAATCACTTCATTGCGGTTTAAAGAGGGTCGCCAAGGGAGTAGTTTGTTGGTCTTAATTCTGAAGAATTGTTTAATTAAGTTTAATTGCTAAAATTCAGTCTTTTTACCACAATGGAAGAAATTTTTTAATTAAATACAATGTATGGACACAACATAGCTGAAATAGGCTTAATTATGTCCACATACTTATGTAGTTTTGGTCTGGGATTGTTAGCCATGCTAGTGGCATGGCTTTATGGATGTTTGCCAGTCGGTCGACCAGACTGAAATATCCCTACTGGATGAATTGTCATGACGTTTATTGTCTCCAGAGGATGGATCCAAATTCTGCTGTGGCAATTCCCTGACTTTTCCTCCACCATGAGGTTGATGTGTGGTTTTGATGATACATGTCAATGATTTCTAATATCAAATGTATATGTATGTTTTGAGTATTTATCAGTTGCTCTTCTTATCCACAATATATTCCTTATATAGTCAGATACTTTAAAAGGCACCCATATTGGGATTTCTGTTTATACTAATGCTTATACTGTGTCCTTCCCTACCCTACATTACACTGTTTGCTTTATATAAAGGTTGTAAGGATAAATGAGCTGAGTTGACATGGATGTTTGAGTGCCTCATAAACTTTATATACGATATGTCTCTTAAGATTCAGTCATACAGGTCATAGTTAGTCCAGAAAAGTTGAATCAAGGACAACTGGACTTTGTTGTAGATACGTGAACGTTTCATCATCCAAGAGGCTTCTTCAGTTCTGACTGACTGGTGAGGTTACCATGGTATTTAACCTCGGTGGGGTCGTTACCAAGGCCATTGATGTCACTTAGTTCGTTAGTGCTCCTGGTTGTTGCAACATTGGAGTTGTTCACTAGTCACCTGAGGCCAAGTTTAAACAACAGTCACATGAGTAAATGGTTGTTAAATCTCCTGGGAAGGAATGAAAGGACAGCATTGTACATTGGGTATAAGTGGTGTCTTAGACCTCCTTCTCTGTTGAGGGATGGTTTCTCTCCTTTAGATGGCCTCCTTCACTCCTCTTTCAAATCACCTGTCCTCTCTATTTAAAGTATGTACATGGTGAACAGGAGTTCCTCTTTCACTATGTTACAGGTTCGATCTTGATGACCGTTTAATTCTCCTCCGTTGCACGATAACTCCCATCTGACTGATGAAAAAAGTGGGGAGGGGCTCAGTGTTTCGTGTTGATGCTTTAGCTCCCTCAGGTTTTCTGTGCCTTAATATTGTTGCGAAATTTCAGTGTTTCAAGCTTAAACTGTGTTGACCTGGGGCTGGTTTCACAAAGAAGACTTTGACTATGTCTTAGATATAACAAATAGTCAGACTTCAGATAGAAGTCTGAATTCATCCATTGCACAAAGCAGTTTAGCTCTTGACTATCTTAAAATGGACTGTGGTACAATGAATTGTGGGTAAATTAACACTTTTTTCAAAATAATTGACCGAGGAACCACATCCAACTCTGTTTACCCCAGAAGAAAAGGTTTGTCTTCTGGAAGAATTAAACAGTTTCTAGCACGTTTTACTTGAAGAGCTAAACAATAAAAAGAAAAATCTGATTTGGAAAAAAAATCTCTGTGGTCTCCTGAAACTCTTTCCCTTCTCTTTGCTCCGTCAATAACAATGTTAGCAAACCACAAGTTATGAACCATGTTTTCCTGTTTTTTGTTGTTGGGTGCTGCTGCTCAGCGCAGATCTTCTTCACTGGTTCAGTTGGTCTCTCATCATCACTTGCGTCAGAGTTGGGACCTCTCGTTGGCTCTCCCTCTCCACCAGCCTCCTCCTCTCTCTACTCGTTTTGTAATTTAAAACAATCACCTATAACGCTTCATGTTTGGAACACGGTAACAGCTAAATAGATTGTTTTGCGTGACTCATGATAATGAGAGTACAGGTAAATAGAGACCGGGAAAAAGTACTGTTGTGACTGTGGAGGATGGGGCACCATAACAGCCTAATGATCATCATGCACGCACACGAATGCGACCACCTGAAACTTTGGCATCCTCAGCGTTTTCTGTCTGTACCTTCATTTGAACTTATCAAAATGGACATCTAAATAGGGTGTTCATCCGTCCTTCTCTCCCTTTGCTTCAGTATAATTTATATCATTTTGTTGCAAACACACAAACAGATCGAACAACAGATTTCTTCACTACATGACAGAACAGACATGCGACCTCTGAGGAATAGTGAAGGAGGAACTAAGTCCACCATGTCCGTTTTTGATCTTCACTGGTCGTGATGTGTTCTGCCCCTGTATCCAGTTCCACGTGAAGAAGCAGGAGAGCAGAGGGATACTGACACATACTGTGCCTTTGGTTGTTTATTACAAATGGTGACCAACAATATCAAGGTATTCCATGACTGTACATAGACATTTGTCTCCTATTACGCTAACCAGAGAACAACACGCACTGCTGCTTAGATACAGAGTTATGACTGAATTGTCCTTGATAGCACGCCACGACATTCCACAATAAATAGCAATAAATTACCCTTTTCGTGTGCCTGTGATACCTATTTTGAGACATTTTTGCACTGAAGAAAAAATCAGCTGTAAATGCAATCCTTGACTTCATACATTCAGCTGCTGGTAGTTTCCCTTTTTACACGTTATGTTTATATTCAGGAAACCCCTCGCCTTTATTCGTATAGTCCTCAGGGAACACATCATCTTTTCTGTAGTCATCATTTTAGTGTTCATTTAGTAAGCTGCCAAAGATGCATCAGTTTAGCTTGTTTAGACTCAGTCTTTCTTTTCAAATACTTTACACCTCTCTATTTGCATAAACAATTGTTGTTTTCTCCCTCAAACAACATTTTTCTCAGTTTTTCTGCTATAGTCTGTCACTTTCTCTTAGGAGTGTAACCAATTCCCATTTACACTTACATATTTGACATATTTACATTTGAGTTAAACTCATTACTCCGCATCCTGTGAGCATAGACATTTTTGTCTGGCCTCTGTGTCCTCGAAGGTGACCTTTTTGTTTCTCCTGGGGTCAATCCACGAGTTATGGATGACCACATTGTTTGGTGTGGGGTCAGCTTCGACTACAGACACCACCCTCTTCTTCATCTTGCTCTTCAAAACCTTTTGGAACTTCTGTCGAGTGAAGGCGTAGAGGAGTGGGTGAAAGATGGTGGTTCCGTAGGCCATAACAAGGAAGCCCAGGCGCAGGCGGACAGTCAAATCACTGGGCCCGGTGCTGAGGATGATGGTGTTGAGCACAGTTATTGGAGTCCAGCAAAGCAGGAAAGTGGAGATGATGAGAAGAGACATCCTGAAGACTCGTTTCTGTCTCTCCCGTCTTTCCCGATGACGCTTTACGGCTCTTCTCAGAGCAATAATGACGGACACGGAAGCCCGCATGCCCAACGGTGCATTCCCACCTGCCCTGACTCCTGTGCTGCTCTGTGAAGCGTCAGTCGACTCCGCTTGTGTCGCAGTGCTCAGAGAGATGGTGTTTTTACTCTTCTGCTTCTTTTTAGGTAGGTTGTGCTGAAAGCGTGTTCCAATGCGAATATTGAGGGCCTGAAGGATCTTGTAGTACGTCACTAGCATTACCACGGCTGTGAAAAAGAATATAGGGATCTGTGCTAGCAGGTGATAGTACAAACCCGGCTCCGTGTAGTACTCATTCGTATGAACCACTGCAGTCTGGTTCACAAGGTCTGAACCAGAGTTGATGAAGAAGCCTACTTCCATGAAGGGAACCAGGAAACTGAAAAAGGATAAAGCCCAAATAGATCCCAGCAGAGCGACAGCTCGGCTCATTGTCAACACACGGTTCGCTGGCCGCACTGAGATGTCATAGCGGTCCACAGTGATGGCCAGCACATTAGCAGCAGTAGCTACGCTTGCAAAAGAGACGCAGGCCTCATGGAAACAACTTATCATGGCTGTGTCTGCCTCCAGAGGAAGTAGCACCACCACGGCTGTTAGCGGGATGCAGCATACACATACCTGGAAACAGACAGGAACTCAGGTCACATCCCAAGTCATTTTTTTTTTTACAGCAAACTTATTTGTTTTATTTAGCTTCCTCCCCCAGAATGAACTATCCATTAAAAGCTCACGTCGCAAATGGTTTTCTTGTACAACATGATCATCTGTGATGTTAAAACTGGAGATTTTCACACAGTAACAGAAATTAAATGTGTGTTTCTTGGTAGTAGTTTGGTAATAAACTTCCTAGAGCCCTATGGAGTGGCTCTTATGTATGACTCCTGACAGTGCTATCAGGTGGTGATCACACTGGATGACACTAGAGGAAGCGAGTGTGGTTGGTTGAGCAATACAAGTAAGAAGAAAAGAATAAGCTCGACAGAGGGTCAACATGCCAAAAAAGAAAGTCACAAATAGCAGAGCAAGACAAGATTAAGCCTCGGTCCAACAACAACCCAGCAGAAAGAAACCAAACAGCAGCTGAGTTTCAGAACAGACTCAGAGATGGCATCTGCTTCTCTTGACCGGTAAATTAACTTCTAACACTTCTAACACTTCTCTGCTTTGGTTACTGGGTTGAAGTGGCAGTTGGTGTGGGAATTTTTCTGACCATGTTGTTTGTGGCTGTGATTCAGTATCCTAATGTTAGCACAGTGAATGCTACAAAGTAAGCTAACATCAGAGTTTGTATTCAGTGGAAGCAAACGTAACACAGAGTTACTAAAACTACCTCATGGTTGAGCACGGCCAGGTTTATTTTTGTCATAATGTTATGACTAACACCAACTGCATTTACTGCCAGACACATCCCAATTGCTCTCCCCTCATTCATCTGCCCCTTTGATGAATTACGTAAATTAATCAGTACTGCTGCTTGTTAGCTCATTGTCTCATTAGTGTACAACCTGATGTAATCAACAGGGCCCAGTTTCAGACTACCAGCCTCCACACTGTATTTATAACTTAGTGCAGTCATCAACAGAGCTAAACTGCATACATTAAGTACCAGATATTGGCAAGAAGTTGTAACTTTGCATGTTATCAACCGAGCTAAGATATATGCTAGCAGCCATCAGACTGTGTTTTCTGTGGTGTGTGGAGATGTGGATCGTAATGTTAGTGAAACATATTCACTTGTTTGAGGGAAGATCCTTCTCTGTTGCTAGTCACTCAGCAAGTGCAAAGCTAAGCCAACTCCTAGCAGCTAGAGTTTAGCATACAACTACTGTGCGTTCAGATGTTTTTGGTCATGGTAATCAGATTAGCTGTATGCTAACTTAACATGTATTGACAGCATGACTGCTGGTTACCTTTGCCAAAAGAGATTATGTTTTCGCTTGTGTCTGTTTGTTGATTGTTTGTCAACAGGATTAGGCAGAAAGTAGTGAACGGATTTTCACTAAACTTAAATTTTGGTGAAGGAATTCAGGAAATAATGTTTGGTTCTTGATGTAAAAAATCAGACATATTTATGGTGAGAAATATGAGTTTGTACAATTTGGTGGAGATCCAGATAATAATAATAGTGACATGATCAATGAGATGACAGAATGCAGCAGCGTACTTATCACCTGCGTCCACAGAGGGTGCTGTTCCCGGCTGGTCAGAAAAAGTTGCTCAGTCTCTCTTTAAATCCCTGTTTGCTAAAAGGTAACTTAAATAGAGATAAGGACTCACCAACACATCCACCACATGCAGGTTCATGGTGATGATGTTGGAAACGGAGCTGATGAGGTTCTGTTTCATGCAGTAGAGGACTAGCACAGTGAGGTTTGAGCTCAGACCCAAAACTATCTCCAAAAGGAGGAAGCTCGTCAGAGATACCTAGCAACATAAAGAACAGGGAAAGAAATAACATGGAAGATTTAGTTATATTTTAACTTAGGGATTTCTCTAACAAGTTATTATACAATATGTATTTTAAGTTTCTAACATTTAAATTTCCAACTCATTAATTACCTAGACAATTACCAGTTTCCTAAAAAAAAAAGGGATATCTACTGGAACTGTGGATTCACTTGCTTGCAAGCAAATATCATGCCTCACTGAGTTGACTGAAAAAGCAATCTAAGATGTGTGTATGAAGCTTTGGCACTACCTGGAAGCTGATGGGGTAGACGGCCTCAGAGGACGTCATGTCAAGGTCGTAGGGGTCAGCAGTGTCGAGCACCGTCATGTTGCTCATGGTGGCTGCAGAGATCAGCATGGGAGATGTGTGCATTATCCTGATGGGAGGAAGATGCCTGGAGAGCAGTTTGCACAAAACAGTCTTTGTTTAAAAGTGAACCATTGCACATCAATTTCTACCAGGTCTTTTTTTTTTTCGACCAAAGATTATTTAAACTGTCACCAGATCAGTGAGCCTTTTGCTTTTTGCAGTGAATGTGCGGGTTGTGGTTATGGTTAGGGTTGCAAGAGGTAATGAGCTGTTGACAGGATGGCAGTCACCTCTCTTCATATTGCTGCTCCAGAATAATTTAGTATATTTTCTTTTTTTTAAACTTTGATTTCTGCTACACTTTGTATTGAATAATATGTTGAGCTACACTTCGTCATCACACATGTCTAAATCAACAGAAAAAGAACTTTTCAGCTGGTCGGTCATACAAAATTAGTCCCATTTTTGCATTGACTTGCAGCTGTTTTGCTTTTGAGGGATAATTTTAATACCTATCAACTGGAAAAAAAATACATCATTATATCAATGGGATTGTAGGTCTTAAGGGTGACTTCTTCTGAAAGCTGAAGTACAATTTTGGAAACACAGTGTGGTTGTAGATACAGTTTGAGTCACACTTGATGGTTTAAAGGAAGAATGTTCCTGTGATAAGATCACCTTGTCTAAAAACATTAATGTGTTTTTTTTTTTCGGGATGCTAACTTATTTTAACTTGTGTTGAAATACGCAAGGGGCAAGACTCACGGAAAAGTAGACCCTTTGTATTTTTCACTTGGTGGTAATTTGTTTTCATCAGGAGTACAGGAGCCTAATTGCGTAACAAGACTTGTGACTGAAGAGGTCATTTCCAGGAGGAACCTTAAAATGAAGCTGGTGCAGATGAATCATGCGGTAGCAGCTTAGTGTGTAGATTATGGTAAATAACATTATAACGAAGCGGAATTGAAGGTGTCAATCATTGCACACACTTGTAAGTCATTTGAAAGAGTGCTACTTCACTGTAGAATCAGAATCCTGCTCCCATTATTGATTCTAGTGTATTTATTTATATAATTTATTTATATATATATATATATATATATATATATGTGTGTGTGTGTGTGTGTGTGTGTGATGTCAGTGTTGGTAGCGAGTACCATACTGATTTACAATTACTTTTAGGGCACACTGGTTTTAATACCAGAAAAGTTATGTAATTGCCAAAAAAACAGACATGCCCAGGGTGCTTTAACCAAAGTACAGTTGAACAGTGTTGAACAGCATCTGAAGTCCCCTCCTCCCGCGCCCTTACCCACATCAGAACCCCATATCGAACAAATTAAAAAAAAATTCTGAAACAGATAATCTGACAAACTCATTCATGCACAGCTGGCCAGGTGTGTGGAGATGAGAAAGAAAACTGGATGTGAACTTGTCTCTTAAGCTCTGACTTTGGTTACTCTTTATGTGTATAACAGAGTCAGACACTATGTATTGCAACAGACTTTTTGCCCTCATTTGTGGTCAGACGACACATCGTGCAAGGTAGTTGTTTTCTAGTATAGTGATGCCTGAAGTTAGAGGGACAGGGGTTCATCTTGTCATTACTGTCTCAGAAACCTTGCAGGAGGACAAGTTTAAAGAAAACAAGAGAACCATTTGAGAGCCCTGGTTTGCTTGCTGAGCCTAAACAAACCCAATGCAAGAATACTAGAATATGTGGTTCATGGATCTTCATTCCCCCACGGTTTGGACTAAAGAACACTGAGTACAGTTGTGATATCAGGTTTAAACTCACCACTCCCTCCCAGCAGTGTCCTCTCCAGCTCAGCAGCTATCGAAGTGGCCACAAGGAACTTGCTGGAGCACGTCACAACATCCCACCATGTTTTGACTTGACAAGATCAGTCTTCAGTTGAACTTGATTTGCACCATTCTTTCTGTGAACACACTGGAGTTTGACAGACAGTGAGAAGTCTTCAGTGAGCTTTCGCTTTGGGGATACTGGTTCCACTCAGGCGAAGGGAGGCGAAGTCTGTTTGTGAGACACAGAGAGCAATGCGCCCGCCCCTCAATGGGGGGCATGTGGTTTGCAACATCAGTGCGGCGCCCTAAGATCAATGCTTTCTTTCATGCAAAGCTCTGTCTCGTCATTGTCTGTTGTGCTTGAACTGTTGCCTCCAGTGTCATCCCCGCCTGAAAATGATGCCAGTGCCAGAACGATCCACTCTCCACTTCGCAGGTATTTCACACTCTTCACACTCTTCTCTTTATCTCTCTGGAGATGGCGCACAATCCCGATATGGTCCACAGCACCTTATGTGAGACCACGTCAGGTTTGTGATTTCATTTTCCAAAGAACAGTGAAGGGAGAAAGTGGAGATTACAGAATGGAGGGAAGGTTCCAAGAGAAAGAGAAAACCAGCTGGACTCGACCCAGTTAAACCCTACACGTCTGTGTTCCAGGGAGGTGGGGGGGAGTGGGGGGGAGTGTGGGGGGGGGGTTGCGGCCTTGGGGCAGGGTTGTACCAAAAGCCAGAGACTCATTTAGAGTCATTTAGAGAAGATCATCCAAAGAGAGCGATCCCTCAACTGTTGGACATCCACAGCCTTCTTACTCCATTCTTGACAGACTGAGAGAGCGATTAACAGATGCAGAGAATTACGCCGTGTCCATTTGTCATCATCATCGTCATCCCCTTCCCTTGTGCTCTTCCTCCATCACATTCCATCTTTGATTCTGCAGAGGTGAAGGATGGAAGATCTCAGTAAAACAGTATAAAAAAAAAAAAAGAAAAAAAAAAAAGAAACGTGTCACACTGAAATCAGATCGTTTCTCTCTGGTCTGCATGATGCATCATGTGTTTGCCACCTAATGTCAACTAATTTATCATCCTCTGGCAGATAGCGTGCTCTTTCTGTGCTAATTGGACGCCTGTCTCCGCGAGTGTTTGCGCTCATGTTCGTGTGTGTGCTGAATGTGTGTTTAATCAGTTTTGATGCCTTGGCTTTTGTCTTTGATGATTCTCATCATGTGTTGTTCAGCAAATGAGCGCTGAAAACTGTGAACTGGATCTCTGCAGTCTGTCTGAATGTATGAAATGATACACAGACTGACTTTCGGACCACACACACCATCTGAGCAAGTCAGTTTGCCACCTAATTTGAGAAGACTTTGGGCATGAAAATTTTGATTTAGATAAAAAAAAATTTCCAATTTCAGGCTATTTTTATTCAGACAGTGTGGTCTTTTAAAGCTGGTTGTTTTTAGACGATATTCAACATTGGAGGGAAAAAGAGTTTTGCAGAAAATTATGATTATATTTCTCAAAATAAAGTATCAAAAATGCTTTATAATCAAGGAAGGAATTACAATTTCTATTTATAGTACATATTTTGATATCGATGATGAAAGTGCTTTAGAAATGGTATGCACATTTGTGTTTGCACATTTGTTTGTGGTCTTGCATTATAATTTCTAAAAGAAACAAACTCAATTGTACACCATTTTTCCAACCACTTACAGTGGTTCCAGTATCCTCTGTTATTCAAAGCAGGTGGCACATTTTCCACACCAATTGAACAGTAGCTTCACAAAGGAAGATGCACTGCTGACAGACGTGGGCATACCCTAACCTCAACCACGCGAAGCTTGTACCCAAACCCAACCACCCAATCACATCCAATCTGACGCAACACCTACCACTGTCAACACGCCTACCAATTTCTGGCGAAACGCCCAGGATATAGGGCTGTGTTGGGCGGCATTTATGTAAAGTATACCTCTAAAGGGATACTTAGGTTTGAACAGGGTGTCAGATCAGATCATTGAGGGAAATAATTAGTCAATGAATCCATTAATTAAAAAGAGAAAATTAATTTAATAATTCTCATCATTTGTCATTTATTAAGCAAAAAGGCCAAGCATTCAGTAATTTCAGTTTCTTAAATATGATCAGTTGCCCCGCTTCTCTGTTTTGTATCATGACATATTGAATATGTCAGATGGATGCTTTCCAGTATTTTTTGGTGTTTTATAGTCTTGATCAGTTAAATTGGAAAAAATAATCAGCAATAGTGAAGATAATTGTTGGGTTCTTGCTCTAACATTGAGTCCATTACCTATAGCTCTGTTGCAGTTTATAGTATCTATAGTATCTTCTTGTTAACTGCACAACATGAACAAAATTGCTTCTTTGTTTAAACTTAACTTAATGTTTAATGGCTTAATGCAGCTTTTGTCACACTCATCTGTTCTTTTAGCTGTATTTTTGGTTACATGAAAATATCTGTCCTCTAGACGACCTCTCGCTAAGGACAGATTCAAACTAGCTCCCAATCTTCAGTCCGACTAGTTTCGCGTCGTATGAGCTTCACTTCAACTGGAGAGCTGCACTCCTTGGAAAGCAGTGAAGTCGGCTCAGCTAGTGAAGACCCGTGCTCTTTGCTTTTTGACAGCCTCTCATTTAGTCTAATTATTCTCCACTCAAAATAATCACTGCTTGAAAATCGTGACTCGCAGGCTCAACAACATGTCAGCGTGCTGTGTGTGTTTATCTAGAGCTGAATGTGTTGATTTTACCTCAGTGCAACACATTCATTTTGCCTTGCTGTCAGCACAGCAACAACGCTGTTAGTATACGATTGTGGCGTGCGTTAGTTTACCTCTAGACAAAGAGCGTTCCTCTGTGATCGCTGGGTCTGCCGGAGTTCTTTCCTTCCATGTAGGGCTTTGTAATCTCAATCCCCAAAGGTAGCGTGGTCCACAGGTGATAAGCCTGAGTGGCTGAGGTTTGGCTCAGCCGTCCATCATTCAAGGATCTTGCGCCACACTGTTCAGTCCTTTCAGGATGGAAATCTGACTGGTAGAGAGCACACAGCCACAGAGCCTGGAGAGAGCGAGCGAGATATTGACACTGCTGCTCTGCCTCCCCCTCTCTTCTCTCTGCTGTGCTTCTTTTTCTGTCGGTCTGTCTCTGTCCTGCTTCCTGCCTCTCTCTGTATCTGCCTCCAGTAGCCCTCCTACTCATCCATCGCTCCCTCCCCCTCCTTCTCCTCTCTCTGAAACTGTCTTCTCCTTCTCTTTTTTTTTCCTCTTACACCTCTGTGCTTGACTAATTGGACTCATAAACCAGATTTAACACTTGGTTCATAATTTTTCCACATTTCAAATCATTTTCTGCCTTTCCTTTGACATCTTTCTGTCTTTTAGGCTGCCAGTACTCTTTTCCAACATGCAGGGACAACAGATCTTTTTGTCTCTTGAGTTCTGTTTTTTTTCCCTTTTCCTCTGAACCATCTCTCCATAAGTTTGTTTGCCCTCATTAAAGAGCCCAGGTGGGAAACGGTGGCCATGACAATACTAATGGAAGCATCCTCCCTCCCAGGACTTTGGCCACTCCTCCGCTGTTTGTGTTTGCATAGCACCTGCCGGATGGTGCATGCTTAATTGTCCTGGTCTGGCTACCACCGGAGCAGTCACCGTGTTGCCCTTATTGCCTGGTGAGCACATCTGCAGGTTAGCGAGTGAACGGACTAATTAGGGCTACTTGGCATTGGCATGGCAACAACAGCACCGCTGGCCAGAGGAAGCACAGACTGATAGATCAGAATTCAAATCAGGGCCTGTCTGTTGTCTTCCAGGTTCCACTTTTATCCACTGATAAAACCAGAACTCTCGATTTTTTGTTTTGGCTCTTTATCTCTCACACTTTATCTGTTTATTCAAGGAGTGTAAGTAGAGACACTGCTTTCAAGTCTCACTATTTCACTGACATGCGCAACTCAGTGGGAGGCATGTTTTCCCTGAGATACAAGTCTTTAGTGAGAGACAAATAGATGGCAGAGAGAAGCATTTTGGAGAGGGAGAAAAAAAGACGTCTGCAGACTTTTCTTCTGTGCAAACATGAGAGAGAGACAGAAACGGGAATCAGGATCGAGACCAAGACGAAAAAAAACCCTTTTTTTTCTCAGCGAAGATGACAATGATATGTGAGGGGCCAGTTTCACACCTAAATTTGCTGTAAGCACAATAGAGTGCAACAGAAAACATCTATAAATGTTTAATGAAAGCATTAATATTGCAATGTGATATCTAGGCTGTCCGCTGGCGAGCCTAAAGGCTGCTAGCTGTTGTGTAGTCCCCAGCTGTGCTATTTCAAACAGAGGTGCGGATGAGTAAAACCAAATTCATGGCTGTCTTTGTGTGAATGCTTTATACTTTTGAAAGAGCAGTCATGCACTTGGTGCTCAAAGGACAAATGCCACACCAGTAAATGCTAACGCCTTCATGATGGTCCTGCAGCACAAACAGCTGGGAATTCAAGGTCAAGATCAATATTGTCTTTAGTGCTAGTAACTCATCAGCTAACTGGGGAAAGTAAAACTTTGAAAGAGATCTAAATTGATATTGGACACACTAACCAGCAGAACCCATTAAACCCACTCAACGTCATACATATTCAAGCCGTCAGGGAGTCATATCCTGAGCAGGGTCATTGTCAGAAAAAACACTAATCAGCAACTGTTTGATCGAAGCAAAACTTCAGCTTTAAAACTTAAGATGCAGGGGACGAATCCTTACTGCAGCAGCCTGGGTTCAAATCCAGCCCTTTGCTGCATTTCATCCCCTCTCTCTCTCTCTCTCTCTCTCTCTCTCTCTCTCTCTCTCTCTCTCTCGCTCTCTCTCTCGCTCTCTCTCCCCTGCCTTTCCTGTCTAACTCCACTATAGCTGTCAAATAAAGGCTGAAAATGGCAGAAAGAAATTAAGATGCAGAGGGAGCATCTTAACACAGCCTGGTCCCATAAAGAGAGAGAAGAAAATACACTTTTAGTCTCTGAAACCAAAATTAAAATTTATAAGGATTTTTTAAGATGTCTATATAAGATTTAGACAGAAAAATGTGTATATTAATAGCGAAGAAGCGGATTCATCCTTAAAGACGTGATTATCAAAATAAGTTCTACTTTAAATGTGTTTCACAAAAGTAGCAAAATCAATATTTCCTTAAGGTCACAGGAACTTTGTCGTCACACACACCTTGGACTTGTTGATTGATTAAAGATAGTCAATAAGACACCTGCTAATGAATGTAGTTGCTAGTTTCAGCCTAGTGTGAAAGCATAGACATTAAAAGGGAGGGATTGAAAGTGTAGATTTTATTTTTCAGTTGTCTGTTCAAGCTGCGCAGATCTGTACTGCCTGTATGCAACATTTGTTTGCTTTACTGTCCAAGTGAATAGAAAAGGTGCAGAAAATTGTCTATATTTTCATGTAAACACATTGTTATGCACTTGAGGAACTAGCTGTTGCTGTTGATGACTAAGGCCACAGGAAGCTGTAGCTGCTTCACAGTAAAAGTCTTACGCTGGGTAACTGTGGAACAGCGACAGAAAGTGGATGTTTGTGTTACTAAATGAACTCATTGTCAAAGATGTGATTACCCCTCAGAG